CTCATTGCCAGGGAATTAATTAACCCTCCCTACCCCTTCCTGTGGATGCCCATGAGCATGAATGGAATTTGGAATAGATAGCCTCATGATGTACCAGTGAGCATTCTCTGCCTTTCCCACATGCTTCTTTCAGCACTTCCCAGCCTTTGTGAGCGACAACAGAGGGTTCCCAGCTATTTTGACATACCCATGTTTACAGCACATTTAGGGGTGGGGCGGTGTTAAACCAGAAAAAGCCAGTGTACAGAAGACCTGCACCTTCCCCTTGTGATTTTGGAACAGGCAGGGAGTCCCCTTACAAGCAGTACCCACCGTGTACACATACTTCCCAGATGGACGGCATTCCTGGATATTCCCCATGCCTCACTGTGGTTAGAAAATAACTTGTTGGCCTCTGCTGTGGGGACCTGGAGAGTAGGGATGGATGTGGCAGGCAGGCACGTGCAGCACAAGGTGCTACTGCCACTGTCAGAATGAAGTGGAGGAGAGGAGTCTGGTCATGCTACTGCCTGCTGGTACCTCTTTGCACCAGCAGGCAGTAAACTTGGGCCTTTCTCCCCACCCCAGTGTTGAATCTACTGACTGTCCTGTTCTGAATCTTCCCTGCATGCCTGGAAACTGCAAGCCGATAGTTGGTGCAGCTCAGCACAGCAACCCTGCGACTGTCTGTCATGGCTGGAATCTGGGGCAGGGGTGGCGCATCCTCTTACTCCTGTGAGTGGATGCCCATGAATCGCTCCATTAGGTGGGCTTCTCCCACAGATCTAATCATAAAAGCACAGTGGCTTGAACTGTCTCATGCACCTACTGCTTTTCATGGGCTTTAAACTCTTGCTCGGCAGAAAAAACTGGTATTCATTTTAATGCTGATCAATAATGTGCCTTCCCCCACCCCCCACTGCATGTGTGGGTGTGATATACCAGCCATGGAAAGTATTTCATGCAACTGACAAAGTAGTCTCTCACCTGCCAATACTCATGCCAGAAAAAATGTACTGAGTTTTTAAGCTGCCACAAAGCGTTCCGTTTTTGCTGCTACGACTTCTCTGAAAGCTGTTCCTTTTGTGTGCAGCTGAGCTTTGCACAGAGGTAGCAGTACCTCGTGCATTTTACAGCCTTCGAATGCTGCTTGGTGGATCACTGTCAACAGAGGGTAAAGTGATATGTGGGCCACAAAAGCTACTATCCTGCACACCCTTCCTAAGGAATAAAGCCCATTTAATACAATGTAACTCATTTTTGAATAATTATGCGCACAGGATCAGCTTGAAGATCTGCTTCCAAGATGTATCCAAAGTTAGTCTTCCTTAGAACTAAGGAATGAATGGGACTTAGTTGTGCTTAAGTCCCATTCATTTTGCTGGGTCCTCCAGTAATATTGGCTATAACCCTTAGCTTAGATTTCCAGATGTTTGGGACCTCAATTCCCAGAAGCCCCTACCTGCATAGCCAAAGGCCAAGAATGCTGGGAGCTGAAGTCCAAAATATCTGGATGTTTTGGCGCTGAAGTCCAAAACATCTAAGTGTCTACTCAGAAGTCAGCTCCAGGGAGTTCAGTGAGATTGCCTCCTAGGTAAGTGTGCGCAAGCCCACAGCCTTAGTCTTGATCCTCGCAGCCAGTGGTCAGGATTACTCCCAGACAAGTCTGCCCGTGCTCGGTGGAGTGTGCTCCTAGACAAGCGTGCATAGGATTGCTACCAGCCTCTCCCCTTTGACTCAGCGCAGTGCTGCGAGGCAGCTGCGGGCAGAGAGGGGTCTGGAGGCAGCGCCGCCTGCTTTGCTCGCTTGTTCTTACCTGCCTGTTGGAACCAGACAGGGCGGGGACTGGCTGGCTCAGGAATTTCGGGCCGCCGCAACCAGGCTTGCGCCGGCGCGGCCTCCCTGCTAGCTGGAGGAGAAAGCAGATAATCGAGGCCTCCGCAGCCACCTCGAAGGGGCTTCCCGCTCCGAAGGGCCGTCACCTTGGAGGGTGGGGCTGAGTCTGTCGGGGAAAAGTCATCTCCCCCTCCCCCCCCCCCCCCCCCCGCTGCTGCCGGGACCCAGGGAGGGGAGCGAGAGAGCGGCAGACCAACTGAGCATAGTCGCGACGACCTTGCAAGCCCGGGAACTCCGCTTGGGCCAGCCTTGCCATGACAGGGAGCCTCCTCGCTCACGCTCGGTTGGGAGCTTTCCCCTGACGGCGCCTTCGCAGGACTGGACTGAGGTATGCAAGACTTTAAAAGAGGGAGATAAAGTGCGTGCGTGCGCGAAAGAGAGAGAGAGACTTTGGCAGCCTTCCACAGCCAGGTGCCGTCCAGATGTTCTGGACTGCAGTCCCCATCAATAACCATCTGCGGGAACTTTACATGGGGATCATCGGAGTTGTCGTGTTAGCTATCTGGAAATCATGCATCTTATATCGATATATGTTTGTGCTTCAACACGTAAGCCTTGGAAGTAAGAAAGTCCTTCCTCGGGCGACGTTATAAAGGCATCGGGTTCGTCTCTAGAGAGAGCAGACTTGCTTTTCACAGAGCAAATCCTTTCTTCCTCATAAAGCAGTGCAAACAGGATAATGGAATGTTGACTTTTGAAGATTTTTTTTAAAAAACACACAGGGGGTCGAATGTTTAAAAAAAATCAGGGACTTGGAAAGAAAAGGCGTTGAAAATGTTGACAGCCAGAGGAATTGCGGACAATTTCTACTTTGTGGATGTATGTGTGTGTTTCAGGGAAGCATGACGTTCCCCCCAATCGAATTAGGCAGCCTTCTCCAACAGGATGCCTTCTCCAGCAGGATGTAGTCCAGCTGTGTTGGACTGCAACTCCTAGAATTCCCAGGCTAGAGGTGGGGGAATGCTAAATGAGGGGTTCCTGTTCGCTAGGGGAAGAGCAGAGGAGTGAGAGAGAGGTTACACTCTGAGTAGCTGAATCTCCACCTACTCCCTTCAAAAGACACCCCCTTCTGAAATCTGCCACATGTCCTTCACTCTTAAAGGATCCCAGTACCATCTCAAAGAATGCAAGGTTGTGTTATGTTTGTGGAAGCATCTGAAGAAGCTTGTGGCCTTTTAAAGCAGTGGTGGAAAGCCCATGGTGGTGTTGCAACTTCCATCATCCCTGACAATTGCTGAAGCGGATGGGAGCTCAACAACACCTGCAGGACTACAGGCTCCCCCAGCTTTGCTTTAAAAAATAAAAGAAGCAACAAGGGTGGTGTTCTTGATTAGAATTATCAAAATGCAATAGAACAGAAAGTTACTCAAGACTAAGAAAGCTGTCCCATGTCTCTAGGATGCTCTCCCAGGGATCATAGGATTGCTTAGAAAACCCTTCCTGTTCTCCATCCTTGGAAGAGATCAGCTCCCCTTCTCTGAACCCTCATGGTTGGCATAGAAAAAAACCATCTGAACTGCCCTCTAGAATCAGAAGTGGAGGAGAAAAGGTGTTGTTCCAATGGTAAGGGGACAGAGGAGAGTTGAGAGGCCAGGATACAACATATCCTGAGTCTCCTCAAGCTTTCCTCTCCAGAGCACCCTTCCTAAACAGACTGAAATGTTCTTCTAGCAAAACATGCCAGAGATGGAGGATGGGGAGGTGAAGATCACCCCTGTTGCTCTTCCCATCCTGCTGGCTTTAAGGTGCAAGCATGCAATCCATAACAAAGCCAGTATAGTGTAGTGGTTAAGACTGAGGGACCAGGACTCAGGCAAGCTGGGGTTTGAGTCCCTGATCAGCCATGGAGCAAACTGGGTGACTGTGGGCTAGTCACAGACTCGCAGCCCAGCCTACCTTACAGGGTTGTTGTGGGGGTAAGATTGAGAGCAGGAGGAGGGGAATGATGTAACTCACTCTGAATTCATTTTGGGAGAAAAGGCAAGATAGAAATCCAATAAATATAGTTTCCATGAACTGAAGGCCATGGTTTTTGCAAGAAGACCCTGAACAAGATATCTTTACTCTTGTCCCTAGAATAGAGATGCAGTATCCAAATAGAGATACAGTACTCCCCTCAAGCCAGTACAGCTGAAGCCTGGCTTGTGCTTAAGAAGTGTGCTGCACTGAAGCAATTCCCAGAGGACTAGCAGGATTGATCAGTGGAGCTTCACTGATTCCCCCTTTGTGAGGATGGAATACTCTATCCAGTCCTGGAATTGTTTCCAAGCAATCCTGTGGTCCCTAGGAAAGCATCCTGATGCCGTAGGATTGCTCTTTAGTCTTTAATAACTTTATGTTCTGTTGAATGTTCCATAATTATAATCATGAAAAACTCATTGCAGCTTAGTAACAACACAACCCAGTAAGGGGTGATTAATGTCCAGAGCCACACAGATAGTGGAACAACAAGTGCAATTGTATTTTGATGGGTTCTCGTCAAATCCATGGCAGAATAACTGGTGGTCCTCCAGATGGTGTTAGACTGCAATTCCCATTTTAAAGGGAGGATTTCTCATCAGTAAAGCTGTGACTTTTAATTATTGTTCCATGATATGATAACAAGCTGGCATCCACTGAGGGGGTAATAAATGGGTGTTGTCACCAAGCGGTGGGGTATCTCTGATGAACATGCCCAGTGTGGAATCCAGGAGTAGGGCCTGTTTTACCACTAAGCACAGTAAGAGCGTTTCCTTAGACAGGAGATTTGAGATGACATGAAAGAATAGCAAATCCCCTATTTTAATTTGCTGTTGCTTTCCTTCTACTGCCAGGGCAAGGGAAGAAGTTTCTTGCCAGTTCTTCAGCTTTGGGTCCCAACCTAACCAGGCTGGCCTTTGGTGCTGTGCATCTTGACTTGGAGTAGGTGCCACTTGCTGCTTTGCCTGAGGCAGAGAAAAGTCTTTGGCCAGCCCTCTCAGTCCTTCCAAAGTGAATGTCTGGCTTCTGTCATTCATGCCTTCATCCCAGAGACGCAGTCTTCTCCCTCTATAGCAAATATTAGGAAAATGCAGTGACTTTTTTTTCTTTCAACAGACGTTGAGTTTCTTTTCCATTGTTGGGTCTGTGGAATTCTCTGCAGCAATATGACGTCTTCACAAGAATATGGTTCCAGTACCTGGGAGCTTATTGTTACTATTGATCACAAATATGGTGGAGAACAAAAACAGAGTAAACTGCAAGTATCGGGCAACCTTCATATTGGAGGGGTGATGCTCAAGCTTGTAGAACAAATTGGTGAGCCTAAATTTATTAGTACTTTTCTGTATGTAATACTTTTAAAGATATCAGGGCAGAAGATCAAATTAATTTGGGCAATATCTCTAAATTAATTCAGCAAATATTATCCGGGCTTCTCCAACCTGGCACTCTCATGATTTGTTTGACTACAGTTTCCATCATCCCCAGCCCACTAATCAATGGGCCTGTTGTTTGGGGTCACGAGTGTTGCAGGCCAGTGCATCTGGAGAGGACCAAATTGGAGAAGGCCATGCTTTCTTTATATGGATCATTCATTCTATTATCTATGTATCTATATCTCTCTACACACACATCCCAAAGTGGAAGGAAACTGTAGCATGCAGGCAGCTGTTAGAGAACTGCACATTTCTGGAAATTTACAAAGCAGATAATGTAGGCAATTCCGTCCCCCTAGCTGGTGGCCCAAGCCCACCAAGGAAAATTCCTGGCAACCTCCAACAGATGCTCAGTGGACCAGTTTGCATAACTGCTGCCGTTCACCATTGCCTCTTCCAGCCGCAGTGAGTTGCAGGGCATGGCACTGGCCCTTCAGAATATTGATGCTGCAGTGAGTGGATGCCATAGCTCATCATGTTATGAAAACCTGATGGGAGTGCCTTTTAAACAAACTTTGCAGAAACCTAAAATAGACCATGGCATATGCAGGGGTTGTTATCCTTTGCAGAAGCCACCCTCACTAAGTTCGCATGATGTGATAAACCATGGCAACCACTTGCCACAGCCCAGATGTTCAAAAGGGGGGGCATCATGTGGTGGGCTGCAGTGATTCTGCAAACCATATGCTTTCACCACCAACTTTGGCACTGCCCCCTCTTCATATGAGAGAACGGGACCCACCAGAGGAAAAAGATTCTCCATGCTTGATTTGCAGGGGAACGCTCTGTCCCACGTTCCTGTGTCTAGGAGAACATCCAGACTGCTCTTTCAGGTGGCTTCTTCTGATGCGATTAATGTCAAGCGTAGCCAGGCTCTCAGTCCACTGGTGTTTTTGAAAGATGGGAAGTGTTAGCTATGCTTTAATCAGTGTTCATGCTTTGTTTCGTTGTCTTTTCCCTCAGGGGTATCACAGGATTGGTCAGACTATGCCCTTTGGTGGGAGCAAAAGCAATGCTGGCTTCTTAAAACGCATTGGACGCTGGATAAATATGGGGTGCAGGCAGATGCCAAGCTGTTGTTTACCCTTCAGCACAAAATGCTGCGTCTTCGCTTGCCCAGCATGCAAACTGTAAGACTGAATGTCAGTTTTTCTTCAGTGGTGTTCAAGGTTGTTGGAGACATCTGCAGGACCCTCGGTAAGTGTGCAAATTAGCGGCTTCTCTGAGCTGGAATTTGTCCCCTGGGATAAGGTGAGAAAGTGGCATTTCGAGTTTATCATTGGGGTCAAGCTGTCTCTAAAGCAGGCCTGTGCAAATTTCAGCCTTGCATTATTTGCTTGTTTTCTTCACTGGACTCTAAGTATTTTTTAAGTTTATAAATCAAGAGCATAGACTCAGGATCCCTGAATGTATAATCAGGTGCAGTGATCTTGACCTGTATTCTGGTCCTGGCTGGATCAGACCAGAGTCAACCAACTGAAATAAAATGAGAAAAGTTTATGGTAATTTACTCAGCAGAGTATCTGCATTAGGGGACAAATTCAAGCTCAGAGAAGCTCTTGGGGCTGCATTCTAGTGGTAGGTGGGGCTGCAGGCAAAGGGGCCAGGCCAAAATGCAACCGCTGCCGCTCCCCCAGCATGTTGTTGCTTAAAGCTTTTAATTCCAGTAACGAAGGTTTAGGAGACTGTTTAGAATAGGAACTCTGCACAAAAGTGGGAAAACGACTGAATGATCAGTGCTCAGGGAAAGGAGATGTGGCCCTATGGGGAACCCCAGACGTGAACAAAATGGGTGAAAAAAACCAGAAGATGTCAAAAAGTACTGGTCTAGTGGAGGAAAGATGCTCTATTCAACGATTAATACAGGTCCTTCATCCGAGAAATCTGGAAAATGATATGTAAAATGTATTTACTTGAACTAGCATTATGTTTATTATTAAATTTATTTCTATACTGCCCCATAGTCTTTAGGTGAGACATTCACATATACTTTCTACATTATCATATACTTTGTTGTAGACCCAGGTCTGTACCACTTACTTACAGATCAAGGGCAGTAGGGATGTGGGGAGAGAATCCCTGTCATCCTGAGGGCCAAACTCTGTGTTCAGAAATGTTCCACATTAGTAAAGTACTTATTCATCATGACTTCAAAAGAAAGAAAGCCTCTGGGTTGCAAGCTGTGTTTACCCCTAAGATATACTGACATATTTATTTATGCATTTATTTATTTCATTTTTATACCATCCAATACCTGAGCCTCTTTTATCTTAAAAAAACAAACTTATCAGATTGTGCTTGCTGTTCCAACATTAATCTCCTATGCTAGACCAGATCAGGCAGGAGAACCTAGGCTGTTATGCATGCAAGTCCTGACTAGAATCAACTGTACTTTAAAGCAAGGCTGAGGGACTACTTAAGGCCGAAGGGAATCATTGGGCTGCTCCAGCTGATACAGCAGCTCACTGCTTAAGCAATGCATGGCCTATCATAAATGGGTAGGAGAGGCTGGGCCCACTGCATCCCCCACCACTTGGACCAACCCAGGAGCAGCTCCTTTCATAGGTTGCTAAGTGTGTTGTCTGAATCCAGATGGCTGGGTTGTTCAGGGGCTAAATAACACCATGGTTCGTGGAACAACAGCACTTGTTACTGAGTTGTTTAGGCCCTAACAAACCAACAGTCCTGGTCCCTGGATGCTGCATATTCCCTTCCCCAAGGCCAAAGACAGAGCTCCAGCCTTCGAGGTGAAGATTCAGTTACGGATCTCCACTGCCTTCCCAGTCCCTCCAAATGTCCATCATTCCTTTTTTAAAAAAGAAAAAAAAAAGAAAAGAAATCAATTTATACCCTGCCATTCTTCCTAATAAAGTAGTGCTGTAGCTGGTTAATTGCTGCCAGTCCAATGGAAGGCACCTTACTTGGGAGGAAATCTGACTGAACTCAGCATGGACACACATGCATGCAAACATGCACATTCAGGGAAGCAAACAGGAACTTGTTTGAATGATAAAAAGTCACACAGTCGTAACAATAGGTAAAGCTGGGGGACTTTACCTCTGCGCCATGACAGCTATGCCATGGAGTACTGCAGGGGTCTATTTTGTCCCCCTTGCTATTCAACATCTACATGAAACCACTGGGAGAGGTCATCTAGAGGTGTGGGCTGCGGAATCATCAGTACGCTGATGATACCCAGCTCTACCTCTCTTTCACAACCAATCCAGGTGAGGCAGTGGCTGTACTGAACCGGTGCCTGGCTGAGGTAATGGGCTGGGTGAGGGCCAATAAACTGAAGCTCAATCCAGATAAGATGGAGGTCCTGTTGGTGGGTGGCTCGGGCTCTGGAATAGGTGACTTGGACCTTGTCCAATGGGGTTGCACTTCCTCTAAAGGACAGGGTCCACAGCTTGGAAGTGCTCCTCGACCCAGAGCTTTCTTTGGAAGCTCAAGTGACTGCTGTGGCGAGGAGCGCTTTCCTTCCGCTTCGGCTAATCCATCAGCTGTGTCCCTACCTGGAAGTCAACTGACTAGCGACAGTGGCGCATGCATTGGTTACTTCCCATTTGGACTACTGCAATGCGCTCTACGTGGGGCTGCCCTTGAAGACAGTCCAGATACTTCAGATGGTGCAAAACAGAGCAGCCAGGTTGCTGATGGGGACTGGGAATTACTCTCACATAACCCCAGTTCTCTACCAGCTTCCCTGGCTCCCCATCGAAGTCCGGGCTCAATTCAAGGTGCTGGTTATCTTCTACAAAGCCCTTAATGGCTTGGGACCTGGATACCTAAAGGAACGCCTGCTTCCTTATTTGCCGTCCTGCCCCTTGAGATCGGCAGCAGAGGCCCTCCTCTGGGAGCCCTCCGTGAGAGACATCATGAGGCAAAGTACCCGGAGGAGGGCTTTCTCTGTGGTGGCGCCCCATTCTGTGGAATGCGCTCCCCAGAGAGGTCTGCCTGGTGCCGTCATTATTTGTTTTTTGGCGCCAGGCTAAGACCTTTTTATTTAAAAAATATTTTAATAATGTTTAATATCTGTAGGTTTTAATTGTGCAGCCAGGGTGTTTCCGGATTTTAATTGTATTTTGTACTATGTTTATTTATGTGAGCCGTCCCGAGGCTATAAGCGATGGGATGGCATACAAAAACTCTAAATAAATAAATAAAATGATAACCCCCCAAATTCACTGGAAAGTTGTTTTATCAGCCTGCAGCCCTCTTTGCTTTGCTGCTGAGGTTCTTGTGCATGAGCATAAGATGCCTTTTCTTGGTTGCTTGCTGTGTTCTTATCGCCTTAGGAGGGAAATCAGTGACATTTTACAAAGCAGGTGCTCAGGCAATGGGTGTTCAAGATGCTTTCACAAGTCTGGCAGGTCTGCACATGGGTATTCAGGGCTGGGTTATTTGTCTGGCATAGAAAAACCCTTTCCTGTGAGAACTTGCCCCAATCCAGGGGAAATGCAGTTGAAAATGCAGTTGTGCCAGGCCTCCCACTGGCGCACTGGCTGGTGAACTGGGAGGGGTGACGTGCAGGGCACTGACAGGGCCTATCTTCCACAGATGGAAGATCTGACCTTGATGAAGGACCAGGAATGTTTTCCATAGGAACAGGGCAGCAAGAGGAGGACTCAGTGTGTGTGTGCATGGGGGGGGGGTTCACGGGGGGTAGGTGTCCCAGGGTGTGTTGCTAGCTACAGAGGTGCCTGTCGAGGAACAACGACTGTCTGAAAGCAAGGGCACCTTTTTCGATGGTGTTTTTTGGTGGCTGCTTCCTTGTATTTGAACCAGAACAGCAGGCTAAGATCAGCTTCTTGCAGAATATCTTTGGTTTTAGACCCTGTGTGTCAGAAAAGGACCTTAGCTCTGTGACAGAGCCCCTGCTTTGACTGCAGAAGGTTCCAGCTTCCATATGCAGCATCTCCAGGGAGGGCTAGGAGGAATCCTGCCTGAAATCCTGCCAGCCAGTGTCGACAGGACTGGGCTAGATGGACCAGTGGGCTGGCTCCGGATCAGGCCCCTTCCTCTGTTCCTAAGCTGCAGTAGCAGTACTGCAATTCATTGCCATTTGCTGCCACCATTTACTTTATTATCTGTGTATGTTTCTCATGTTGGCAATGGGGCATTCTGCATTAACTGTATGCCACGGGCTGCTTTTTTCTTTGATCCAGAAAATTGGGATACCTCAGTAAAATGAAATGAAATGACAGCTCTGTTTTTAAAGTTGGTGGACCATCCTCATTCAGCGCAGCATCACCAATTCTTCTACATCTCACCAATTCCATTGCACAAGTTGAAGCCACCTTTTGTACTTTCTGGAGGGATCCCCCAAATGAGTGGAAACACTTCTTGGACTGGGGCAAGTTGGTGGAGGTTATGTGTGAGAGCTCCATAGAACTGACCCTTTCCAGAAATGAGCAATTCTGCTTGTTTTGAGTTGTCCCTGGAAGTGATAAAATTCGTGGGTGCCATTTGCAGAAGGGAATCAGTGGAGTGTGAAAGAATCAGCTGGGGCTTGCATGTGCCATTGGATGCCATCTACTGTTTCCTGGGAGTCAAATTCCAGTTATGGAGTATGTTTGTTTGTGTAACAGTTTGGGGGTGGCTGCCACAATCCAACAAGCCTGCTTCAAAAACAACTGCAGTTTGGTGGTGCATATCATTCACATCTTCCTTGGTATGAGAATTAATGCACCCACTCCCTGGGAACAGAATTTGTCACCTCAAGCCATATTAACAGCTATGCAATTAACTATCTGCATTCCAGGCACATGACCATAAACATGCCTTGAGTGTTACAATTACAGTGATGGAAGCCCCAGATATTGCACAACTGGAATTTCTCCCTAACCACAAATAAATAGTTAGGGAGCAGATAAATTAGTTCAGCCTGCAAGAAGTGGGTGTGGCTGAATCAATTCAGTGAATGCATTGTAAGACTATAATTAAAGAAAGGTGAGAGTAGGGACTGCATGATGCAGCTGATGATGACTTTATAATACAGTGGTTCTTCTGGTGCAGTGCCAGAAGTCAGCTCTGTTACCTGAGCTGAAGAAATAAGTAATAATTTCATATGCATTTGGACCATGTTCTCTTTTCCTGAGCACAGATGCCACCCTGAAAAATGTTATCTCTATTGCACTGGTCAAACAGGAAGATGAAATGCAAGGAGTTACTAGGAAAGGGCTAGAAAATAATGCACAGTATTAAAGGCTGAATCGTTGTCCCATAAATAGTAAAATGTGTTCTATTTTGTTTTCCAGACCTACATGTGTTAAAATAACTGGTAATCATATATAAAATAGTTTTAAAAAATAATTTTAACAAAACCAGCACAAGATTTATACACTGCCTTTCAATATAAATATTTGTAGGGTAAGCTTACACCTAAAACACTGAAAGGTTATACAACGCTCTAGGCTCAAAATCATCCAGTAGGGTAGATGTGTTATTACTGTATCATTCTCTCATTCATTTTTATATCTCATTTTTATGCCCTTACAAGGAAACTCACGTAATACTTTTCCACCTCCCTATTTTATCCTCACAACAACCCTTAGGCTAAGAGTCAGTGACTGGCTCAAAGTCATCCAGTGAGCTTTGAGGTTGCGTGGAGACGAGAACCCAGGTCTCCCTACATCCCAGTCTGACACTCCCACTGCTATGCCACACTGGTTCTCATTGTTTATAAGTTATTTCTCATGAAGGATAGTGATTAATGGTCAAACTAGGCATGACTGGCAGCAGATCTGGCTTGTCTGGCATACCTTTGACCCATCTCAGCTGGTCCTGATCAACAGGAACTGGACTGTGCCTGAGAGACACAAGCTGCACTTATGCCCACGTTGGATTACTATAATGCAGCCCACCTGAGGCCGCCTTTAACATGGTCTGGAAAGTTCCACTGGTATACAATAACCTAGTCAAACACCTTTGGAGCTCTCAGGAGGTGTTGGACTACAAACTCCCATGAGAGTGTTCTAGAATGTGGCAGTGAGAAAGATGGTTGAGGCTAGGCAGTTTCCTGAGTGTTAAATCTGTTACATGGGCTGCCTGTTTGTTTTTGGGTCTACTTTAAAGCACAGCCCTTGGCTTTTAATGCTCTGAGTACTTTGGGATCAAGTTATCTGAAGGCTCACCTGAACCCATATGTGTGTGTCCAGACTTGGAGATCAGCATCTGAGACAGTGCTGTTATACCAAAAGGAACCCACTCTTTCAAGGCAAAGGAACCCCTCAGTCTTCTCAGTCCTTGTCTTGTCTTAAGATGCTTATGATCTACCTTCTAAAACTTTCTTGTAGGTATTAGACGGTCTGAGGAGCTTTCTCTACTGAAACCACCCGAAGACACAAAAAAGAAAAAGAGAAAAGAGAAGGACAAAGAACCAGCCATTGAAAATATCTTAGATTTGCACCATTCCCCAGTAACTCTGGGAATACCAGGTAGCTATCCAGTAGTGCTATGTTTGTTTTCCTTGTTTTGCTGGGTGCTTTCCATGTATGTATCACCTTACAGAGTAGCAACAAGTCCCTCTCCTGAGTTGTTTACCCCCTAAAATTCAGCACAGTAAAGCCATATTTGTTTTTCCCATTCATGGACCCTTGATGCTGTTGGACTGTGACTCCCACCATTCCTGACCATTGGCAATGGTAGCTGGATGTGCTGGGAAAGGCTGCCATAAAGAGAAGGAAGGAATTGTATCATGTGTACTTAAGCTGGGGATTAGCACCAATGAACAAAGGCATGTTTTAACTTCTTAAACTTTTTAGAGGCAAGGAGAGTAAAACAGTTCTTCACCATTACCAGCTCTTCAAAGAGATGTAGGCCTTCAAGGGAGAGACAGTTCAAAGCACAGGCTTTCCTTGTATCCTCAGCATCTGGGTAGAATCATTTGTGACCCTTTAGTTGACTCAGAGGGATGGGTCTCCTATCGCACCATGAAGCAGGCAATACCGGGAAAACAATACTTGCTAAAGTCCAGGTTAACGTGAGTTGCAGGGATCAGGTGGCAGCTTGTGACTAGTGGCAAATCATGCACTCACAGCTGCTGCCCACTGCTTCTGCCTGCCTACCTGCCAGCCAGGGAGAACTGCTGGTTTTCCTGCTGCAGTGTTTGCCACTGCAACTGAGTGGCTGGACAGAGCTTGTGGGGTTCTTGCCTCAAGCCCCACTCTGTTAGAAGGGGCCCTTCCTCGCAGGGAGGCACTGCAGATGAGATGGTCCCCGGGAGGTCTGGGTCCACTGTTGCCTCGTGGATAAGCACAGCAGGTACAGTTCAAAGCTGCTTACCTGGAGCATGGCACTGAGAGAGCAAGGCCTTTAGCTTCGGAGGATCCAGTGTTGTCAGATGAGCATGATACAATGAGGATCCTCAGATATGCCAAGTATGCATGAACCTGTAGAACGCATTGACATGATAAAAGCAGGCAGTGGGAGGACCAGGCAGAAGAACAACCATAATAGCAGCCAATGGATAAAAGATAGTTGTTTTGATGCCCAGTGCTTCATTCAAGATGCCAGTATGGGTGATACGGAAATGTGGCTGCAGCCCCCACCACCCTCATCCATTGGCTGGAGCTGATGGGTGCTGTGGTCCAGCTAACACATCTGGAGGGCACCAGGTTGTCAAGGACTGCAGCACCGATTCCTAGGGGACACTCTGCAGGCTGCAGAATCCTGGACAATGGTCGCTGGTCTTGGTGGTGTCATTATGCTGAGCAATTCAGCTGAAGTGTGTGCAGAGCTAGGCACCATGGAAAAGCCTGGGGGCAGCTCATCTCCTCTGTCCCTCTGCTTCTACAAATTATGGGGACATCTTTGCAGTTTCCCCTGACCTTTTGTGGATGTGCAATCACTGAATGTCACTGTGGCTTTTTACAAACATGGTATAATTTGTGCCCGTGATCTGCCCCAAATTGCTCTTCAGTACCAGGACTAGATCCTGGAATGCATGAAGCAATAATAAAAAGCTTTGGCCCTGCCATGTGAATGAGGCAATCCATCCACTCAAGCCTAGAATCAAGGCAAGAAGCAGGGCTTCCAAGGCAGATGGAATTTGACTTCCTGAGCATCTTTTCAGAAACCAAGTCCTTGGAATAAATTCAACTCAGTTCTTTATGCAGACTTAAATAATATATATACATTTATATGTATAGAGAAATGTATGAAGCTGTAGGTAGGAAAGTGCTGGCTATTTGATGTTGTATGGTGCCATATGGAACAACACTACCATATGGTGTTGTATGGTAGACTGATGTTTCCTTAATTCCTGTTCTTAATGTTTCAGCGAGTCAAGGCCTATATAGTAAAACCATGACTCCAACTTATGATCCTGTCAGTGGTTCACCTGCCCCTTCTACGGTCACCTGGTTCAGTGACAGCCCTCTAGCGAAACAGAACTGGGGCGGCCTGGCTTTCAGCAACTCCAGCTGTACCCCGGAGATGCTTGCCAAACTGTATCAGCCTCGGACATTGGTCGACAAATCCAGACTAAATGCAGGGTGAGGGCAGCTTCTCTTGAACATCTCAATTTGCTCGTTTTGACGATTTAGGGGTGCTTGTGAGTGTGTGTGCATTGCGTGCATACTTACCCAAGGTATTTTGGGGTTATATGTGACTGAAGGCTGCAGTCCTGGATGTATTTATTCAGGAGACATTGCCTCAAAAAAGCAGTGATGCTTGCTGCATGTAACTGTTGCTTGCAGGTTTGTAAGACAGACCTGTTTGTTGTTGCTTCTGGATGATTTGGACCTTTTCCCTTCCTGCTCAGCTCAGCTGACATTGTGTGTTCTCCTTTCAGTTGGTTGGATTCCTCTCGATCACTTATGGAACAGGGTATTCAGGAGGATGATCAGCTTTTGTTACGCTTTAAATACTATTCTTTCTTCGATTTGAATGCAAAGGTAATGCAAGTGCTAAGACCTCTCTTCATAGCCTGTCACAACTCTGACATCTGAGATAAAATGTGAATTTAAGATTTGGCAGGACTTGCATTTGTTATCTTGGCAATCCACAGCAGTACCACATCACGTGTTCTCTTAAATAAAATAATCCACTCACAAAGTAGAAGCCACATTACATTAATATAGCACAAGAAGGAAAACAGACATCACAGATGGACAGTGCAGGCCAATGCGTGCCTGTGGAGAAATCCATCCAGGCAAGTGCCCATGAGATTGCAGCCTAAAGCAAGAACATTTTTGATCTCTGATGTCTGACCTCACTTTGCATTTTGAGGCATAAGAAAACACATCGCATTTCCATTGAGTGTTCTCTTTTGTTTGGGCTCTCTGAGTTGTTCCTCTTGATTTCTTTTGTGGCACAATCTACCAACATTTTGCATGAAAACTGGCATAAATGAAGAATGAGCACTTTGTGGCTCTCTGGCACTTCCAGAAGGAGAGCAGGAACACAAACATTAGCACCTGGGCTGCTCTGGGGGACCTGTAGCAACTTGAGTGCAGTAGACCCATGGCATGTCTACTACAGGACAGCAGTTTTGGGGTAAGGTTTCAGCGGCACTCCTGAGCAGCCATAGGGTAGAGGCATGTTCAGCAACCCTCTGTTTGAAGGACACCAGGTTTAAAGCCCATCAAACCGTGAGCCCTTGGAAAGCGGGCTGAGCAGCTACACAGGAGCTCATGTGGACACAGTCTTCCTACAGCTGGTGAGATGTATTGTGTTTCTCCTTAAAATATAGGAATCAAGCTAAATATATTATTTTTGCATATTCAATTATGCATTTGCTTTTGTGTAGCTGGCTGCCCTAAGCTCCAGGGCCCATGGTCCTGGCTGTTGCTTAAAGTCAGGCCTTCCCACCTCCTTTCCAGCAGCATATACCGAGCTATCCAAGTTGATTTTTACAGGACTACTCTTCCTTGTATGTTTTTAGCTGTTCTTAATTTTTATATTTAAAATGTATTTCTGATGAGATTTTATGGCATTTTGCTGGATTTTATTATATTGTTTTTATGAACTGCTGTGCACCACACAGGGAGCTCCAGCTATTGAAATGAAAATAAAATTAATATAAAATGCAATGTGCTGTCACATCTTCTCTTGGCAGTATGATGCAGTGCGAATAAACCAGCTGTATGAACAAGCCCGATGGGCTATTCTGCTGGAAGAAATAGACTGTACAGAGGAAGAGACTTTCATCTTTGCTGCACTGCAGGTATATACTTGATCTTAAGTGGAAAAACCAGTTTTCCCTTTCCTGGGTTTGGCAGCTGCTGGGGCAGGAACACAATGAAGGCAACACTGATTGATTCTCCAAGTAAGGCCTTTTGCCCCACTCATCTGAGGTGCACTGTTTTGAACTCTGCTTAAACCTATATAAATAATTAACAGAAGCCTCACACTTTTACAGCAGAAACTGGGTACTTAAAGCATTGTAAAACATAGAAACATAGAAAACAGAACAAGTCAGAAGGGGCCTCCCGGGCCATCTAGTCTGCCCTCCGGCACCAGCCAGCTCCACTCACGACATGCCCACCATGTGGATGTCCAGCCTATCCCTGAACACCTGCACCGATGGGGCCTCAACGACCTCCCGTGGAAGCCCATTCCACACCCTCGGGGTCCTGATTGTCAGGAAGTGCTTCCTGGCATCCAAACGAAACCTTGGCTCCCTGAGCTTTGCTCCGCTGGAGCGCGTCCTGCCTTCCTCTGCAGGGGAGAACAGGTCTCTACCCATCTCCATGTGACATCCCCTCACATACCTGTATGTCGCCAACAGATCCCCTCTGAGTCTCCTCTTCTCCAGGCTGAAGAGACCCAGTTCCCTCAGTCTCGCCTCATACGGCATCCCCTGCAAACCGGCCACCAACCTTGTGGCCCTACGCTGCACTGACTCCAACCTGGCTATATCCTTTCTGTAATGAGGGACCCAAAACTGAACACAATACTCCAGTTGCGGGCGCACCAGAGTCGTGTAGAGTGGTAGTAATACCTCTCTTGATCTAGAAGCCACACTTCTGGCTATGCAACCAAGGGTGGCGTTCGCCCTCTTGACCACCACATCACACTGCTGACTCATGTTTAGCCTGCAGTCAACCAATACCCCGAGGTCCCTTTCACAAGTGCTACTCTCCAGCCACTTACCACCTAACCTGTACTTACGACAGCTATTCCTATGCCCCAAGTGCAAGACCTTGCACTTATCCACATTGAACGCCATCCTGTTGTCTCCTGCCCACTTCCATAGTCTGTCCAGATCCTTTTGGATCTGGAGTACCTGCTTCTCAGTTGTGGCCACTGCTCCAGTTTTCGTGTCGTCTGCGAATTTGATCAGCAGACTGTTCACCCCTTCTTCCATGTCGTTAATGAAAAGATTAGACAGGATTGGCCCCAGGACAGAGCCCTAGGGGGCCCCGCTTGTCACTGACCGCCATCCCAATGATTCCCTGTTAATGGTTACCTTCTGCTTTCGGTCAGTCAACCATGCCCTAATCCACTGGACAGTGCTTTTGTGTATCCCAAAACTCCTCAGTTTCTCCACCAGGATATCATGGGGCACTTTGTAAAAGGCCTTGCTGAAATCCAGGTACATCACATCCACTGCATCCCCTCCATCTAGCCATCGCAAAACCTTGTCATAGAATTCCACAAGGTTTGTCTGGCAGGGCCTGTTTTTGTGGAAGCTGTGTTGTGTGGCTGCCAGCCTCCCTTCCCTATCTAGCATCACTAGATGTCCCTCTATTATGAGCCTTTCCATTGTTTTTCCTACAATGGACGTAGGGCTAACCAATCTGACTGCAGCAGACTGCTTGAACTAGACCGACCCAAAGGGTATTGCAATTTGCTTCTGACTTCCAGGCCATGGGAAGTTCCAGGGATAGCTCTAAGCCAGGGGAGCTGAACCTCTTTCTGACGTGTGGGTCGAATTCATTTCTGGAAAAGTTCTCCGAGCAGCATTCCAGTGGTGGGAGGGCCTGAAGACCAGGGGGGCAGGGTGGAAGACAAAATGCATGGGAGCAAGCTGCAAACTATATCAGCATATTTTTGCTTAAATGTCTTGCTGTTCGTAGCTAAGCCTCAGAAGGTGCATCTCAACCGTTCAGAATGGGGAAAGTGCACAAAAGCTGGGAAACCACCAAACAGTTGAGGGCTGGGGGCTCAGTGGAGGCAGCAAGGCCATCTGGGAAAGACTGGAACCCCAGGAGGGTTGAATTCCCCCTGGGCTTGAGGTTCTCCACTCAGCATTAAGCGGTATAAGGCACAATCCTGTGCATGTTAGGCAGAAAAAAGTCTGCTCCCAGTTTGCTCAAGCCACCACACACACGTGTCAGCACGCATAACCTGCAATGGAGGAACTCCTTCTTGGAATCATTTTCTATGTCTCCAATAGCTGCAGCCCTCAGATTGAAATCAGTGTTCTTAGCATTGGGTGGATTGTGCCTGACTCACACTCTGTAAATAGGTGCTTTCTTTGCGCACATGCAAGCAGTGCATACATCAAAGCATTGTGTAGGCTGAAGCACGCAACTGCTCTATTGACCCTGCAGCAGAAGCCCAGAGAGCAACTAGCGCTCCACCCCAATTTCCTGCTCCTAAAGTCTCTCTGTGTCCCTCTTAGTCTCCATTCACTGCTTCCCCTTGCTCTCCACCTCACACTTGCAGAGTACTGCTCTCAAACCCTGCTCCTTCTGAGTGGACTGCTCTTTCAAGGCATAAATGATGATGATGATGATGCTGCTCATGATCATAGAGTTGGGAGGGACCAAGAAGGCCATTGGGTCCCAACTTTCTGCTGAAAGCAGGACTCCAGGTTAAAGCATCCCTCTCAGAGGGCTGTCCATCTGCATCCTGAATGCCTCCAGAGTATGAGAGCCCAGAACCTTCCTCTGGAGGGAATTGGTTCTGATGATGATGATGGTTGATTAATAACAAGGGTACCACATTTCTAAACCTTTTGCTGTAATAGGCCTTGAAAAATTCCTTGTACAGAATTTGACAAAGCCTGTAGGTGGTCATGTTCGCCCATGAAAAAAATACAAACATGATGCTTTTATTACTATTATGTGACAGAAAGTCACATAGTAGTAAGCACACATTTGAGTTTCACAGATGATATTGGGGAGGCAAGAAGAGAATTATATTTCTTACTTTAAATATTTATCAGCTGTTTTCAACCATAGCTCTTGGAGTAGTCTTCAAATAAAGTAAAAAAGACAAGATAAAATAACACCAAACAATTTAAAATCCTATGCAAAATCCAGAATTGATACCACAATCCTAAACTTGTCCTCTCAGAAGTAAGCCCACTAAACTCAATGGGACTTACTCCATATTTATTGTGCATCAGATTGTCCCTTAAAAGGCCTGAACAAATAATCTTTTTTCACCTGATGCTGTAAAGGAAATATAGACAGTACCAGGTAAGCCAGTTTGGGAAGGGAGTTCCAAAGTTTGGATGCTATAAAAGGAAAGGTCCTGATTGCAGTGAGTACTTCCAGCCTTACCTTAAAGTACAGGGGACATAGAACAGGCCATGTGAAAAAATTTGAATATTGGTTCCTGAAGACTTTCATTGCTATATTCAGAGCAATATGACAGTGGAACCAACTGTCTAGAGAGGTGGTGGGCTCTCCCACGCTAGAGATATTCAGAAAGAAACTGGGCAGTCATCTGAGCGGGATGGTGTAACATGATGTCCTGCAACGGCAGGGGTTGGACTTGATCGCCTTAATGGCCCCTTCCAACTCTACTGTTCCATGATTCTATGTCCTTAGCTTGAAAGGAGAACCAGAGGCACAAGACACAATTCTACCTTCCCACACCCCCACCCATGCTGTTGTATCTACTGTTGTGTTGCATGAATGAAAGCATTTAAAAAGGAAGAAAATAGAGAATGGAGGGAGATAAGGGACTCAATGAGAAAAGCAATGTTGGGTGATGTCAAACTTGTTTCTCTGTGAGAAAGGAGTTCAGAAAGGAGGCATGGTCTGGTTTCTGCTGGGCTGCCCCTTCCCCTCTCCTGTGATGGCTTATCTGCAGTATGAGAGAGAATACTGGGAGAGAACCCAGAGAGGCAGGCCACAGCCAAAGCACCCTCACACAGCTTTTGGATTTTGTGGTCTGGTCCAAAGGGAGGTTCCAGTCCAATCCAGTCCATTAGCCAGGAAATACCACTTCAAAAGGGATTGCAACATACTCCCTACAGATGTTTCCTACATTTGAGGTAAACGAGTCTCCTCCGGGCCACCACTGTGACTTTGTCTTGTTATCTTTATTGCAGTATCACATCAGCAAGTTGATGGTATCTACAGGATCACAGGATTTCACAACGGAGGCCGAAATGGATGAAGTGGAGGCTGCTCTCTCGAATCTGGAAGTGACACTAGAGGGTGGGAAGACAGAGAGCATGTTGGTATGCCATGCACATGGCTACAGGGGCATAGGGTCATGACTGTATGGTAGGGGTTAGGGTCAGGGTCCCAAGCGATACCTCGTGGAGCAGGGGTTTTGCCCTCCAGATGTTTTGGACTGCAGCTCCCATGATCCCTGACCATTGGCTCTGGTGGTTAAGGCTGATAGGCTTTGTAGGCCAGAAGAGCCGGAGAGCGACATGGCTCACTCCTGCAATGGAGTGGAGGAGCTCCCTCTTGCAATCACATTCCACGTCCCCTGCAGTTGTGATTCTCCTACCGAAATCAATGTTCTTAGCATAGGTGATAATTTGCCTCAGACTCAGCTGAGATTTTCAGAAGGAGAAACATTTGTCAGCTTTTTATGCTCTGGAGGCGCGAGGATCTTGTACCTATTCCACCTCTCTCAAATTTAAAAAGTTTGGTTGGTTTGTTTATGGTATAGAAAAATGTAAAATTTTCCACATTCATCTTTGAGCTGAGTTTAAAGAAATGACCAGAAAACATCAGGCAGACAGCTGTAACTGGGAACATAATCCATATTTGGGACTGATCAATATATGTACTAGAAAATATCTAGAAATGTATTAAAATGATTCTTGGTTTTCCATAGGAGGATATCACTGACATACCAAAGCTTGCACATAACCTGAAGCTATTTAGGTAAGTAAAAAAGTAAAGCAAATAACAAAGCTGTCTATTAATCTGTTTTATTTAATCATAATTTTACATATAACTAATTGTGCTTAAAATGTACACTAATCTGAGAAAAGACCAGTGTCTAGCAAGTATAAACTTGCAAAAATCGTGTGTTTTGGTAAAATTTTGTTTTCACTGCATCAAACATGATTTCAGAAGGACTGGAAATGTATTTACGGGCAGAATTCAGTAAGGTGCTGATACCCCCTTCTACTTCCTTTCCACCCCATCAGTTCCCTTCTGTAACTGTTGGGCCCTGCCAGTCTCACTTTGCAAGCAGGACCACAAAGGGGATTTAATGCTTCCTAAGGGGAAGCTCAGAAGCAAGCCAAAATACTTGTTTCTGGAAGGAGGCAAGTCAGTGCCGTTCCCTACTTGACTTCAGCCAACATGCCTTCTTCAACAAGCAAAAGCTTCCACTCATTTAGAGTTGCCCCACAAGCACCAAATCACTGTTTGCACAAGTAGTGGGGCTGCTTTTGCAACAGAACTGGCAGGGCAAGAGAGAATATGTGGGACACAGGCGTAGGATCCTGCCCTATGTGCGTATTATTTAGCATACGTCTGTGCTAGTCTTCCATTTAAACGAAATGTCCCATGATATCGCACATAACTAAACAACATACACTCAAGCTCATTAATTAAAAGTGCATAGAAAGCAGCACTGCATGAAGAGTGATCAAATGTAGTGGGAGGTTTGTTAAAATGTTCTGGGATAGCTATTAATGTGTAATAATATGTAAATTATTAACCAGACTCTTGTGTGAGGGTAAGATTCACAGTTTTGAAGGAGCAGGAGAGACTAGCAAAGATCCAATGATAGCAGGTTTTGTGGGAGGCAAGCTAATTATTAAATGTGACGACGTTAAGCTTTAATGCCACAAACTGGTTCCAAACCACTTTCTTAAGGATTTGACTTCCTCCCATCCACCTAAATACTAAGAATTTCCTCTTAGGACCTCATTTACATCTTCCTGCCTTCAGAGGTGGCTATAGCAATCCTGGTGGAGTGACCCTGCACACATCATTAATGAAAGGACATGGAATAATCAATTCAAGCTGTGACAACCCACATTCAGGCTAGATATCAGGAAAGGCTTCCTGACTGTCAGAGCAATACGACAGTGGAACCAGCTGCCTAGAGAGGTGGTGTGCTCTCCCACACTTGTTGTTGTTAGTCGCGAAGTTGTGTCCAACCCATCGTGACCCCATGGACAACATTCCTCCATGCCTTCCTGTCCTCCACCATCCCCCGGAGTCCACTTAAGCTCACACCAACTGCTTCAGTGCCTCCATCCAGCCACCTCATCCTCTGCCGCCCCCTTCTTCTTTTGCCTTCAATTATTCCCAGCATTAGGTTCTTCTCCAGGGAGTCCTTCCTTCTCATTAGGTGGCCAAAGTATTTGAGTTTCATCTTCAGTATCTGGCCTTCTAAAGAGCAGTCAGGGTTGATCTCTAGGACTGACTGGTTTGATCGCCTTGCGGTCCAAGGGACTCGCAGGAGTCTCCTCCAGCACCACAATTCAAAGGGCTCAATTCTTTGGCGCTCGGCCTTCCTTATGGTCCAGCTTTCACAGCCATACATTGCAACTGGGAAAACCATCGCCTTGACTATACGCACTTCTGTTGGCAGGGTGGTGTCTCTGCTTTTTAGTATGCTGTCTAGATTTGCCATAGCTTTCCTCCCAAGGAGCAAGCATCTTTTAGAGACATTCAAAAAGAAACTGGAGCACCATCTGAGTGGGATGGTGTAACATGGTGTCCTGCACCAGCAACGGGTTGGACCCAATGACACTCATGGCCCCTTCTAACACTACTATTCTATGTTTCTATGAAAAACAACATGCATTGCCAAGGAGAGGACAACAAGTGGATGGCTAGTTAACACATGCATAGTCAGACACTCTCACTCAAATGTAGAAATATTTCCCATAATTTACATTTCAGAGGGTGCAAGCCAATTTCCCCTTGAAATAATCCCAAATGCATTCTTCAATTGATGTGCATGCCACTGCAGATGACTCATATTAATTGTTCTTCCATTTACCCACATTAAATTCCATTTAATTCCATGATCCATCCTGTTGAAAAGCAACAGGAACAGCATTCCAAACCATCCAAAAAATCCAGTTCCATCAATGATGAATGGCAGTCCACAAGCCGCCTGAGGACACGCAAAGAAAAGCACAGACAGAGTGGATTTAACAATCACTATATTCCTAAACAGAGGGAATTTAGTAACTAGGGACTAAGCCTGGCTGAACAGAAGTGGGACTTACCATCTGAGTAAACGTGTATGGACTTACTGGCGAATTATTTGTCATGTCACTTCTAAGCCAACTCTTGCAACGAACCTAAGGAAGCTTACCCTAAGGAAGTTTACACAGTCTTTTTCCACTCCATTTTTGCTCATACAAGTGTTAGACCAAGACTCGGCGAATGGCCCAAGGCCACCCGGTGAGCGTCATGGTCCAGTGAGGACTTGGATCCAGATCTCCCAAGTCTCAGCCGAGTAAGCTAACAAATGCATGGCACTGGTTCTCTGAGAAAGAGAGTCTGTTGCAGAAGGGGTTTATCTACTTGCTTCTGTCAACCAATCATTACCTTCTCCCACTTGGGGCGGAGCTATGGCTCAGTGCTAGCACATGCAGAAAGATCCTAGCTCAGTGCCCAGCATCTCCAAAGAGGGAGAGGAAGGAATCCTGCCAGAAACCTTGGTGAGTTGTTGCTGGTTAGTGTTGACGGTACTGGGCTAGATAGACTTGACTTAGTATAAGCTGCATTCCTCCACATTCCCAGAAGTCTGCTCCTTCGGACTGGGGGACCATCTGGAAACTGCACTATGAACATCAGATTGTCACATGGCCATACAAGGTTGTAATATGGCAGTTTGAAATTATTCACACAAGACCCAGGCTACCGTTGCGTGTGCACAATCTTCTTGGGACCAGTCCTACAATTAGACAGAGAGAGGCAGTTGCCTTAGGCAGCAAGTACTTGGAAGAAGTCATAAGGGTTGGTTCTAATAAAAGTAAAATCTTCTATTTTTCTTGGATTTTCTGAAGTGAACCTACACAACCACCTGCAATTTCAGTATACATTAATTTAGGTATATCTTTAAATGGGTATGAATTACAGCTAACTGCAAACAACGTGTCTGCATTATCAGTTATGAATGTTTATAATCAAACTGAACTTTCCAGTGACTCAAATAAAACTCCATTATAGAATGCCTAATTTGCCCCGGCAGTTGCCAGCCTTTTCTTCCACCGATGTGACTAATTCAACCTTTTTATTTCTATGGAACGTTGAGATAAAAGAACATAAAGCTTTGAACTCTCAAGTGTTTGGTTTGACAGATTAGCTTTACAAACTAATTAAGAATTGGTTTTACAAAGGAAGGGCTCTCTTCAAAGGGACTGGATCATTTTCAAAACTCCGAAAGATCATTTCTATTCAAAGGCAAATGAGCAAGAACAGCAAATATATTTGAAAGATTACATGACAACGCTGAACATAAACCTGCTATTTATGTGTCAAGGCTGAATCAAAACAGCTAGCCAGCCCCAGGAATCTCTCTTCCAAACAGCCAGACACTAATTTATGTGATGAAAAGAGTATAAGGGTGTTTTAAAATGGCTTCTCCTGGGTAGGGGGCTTCCAAAGAACCGGTGCAAATATTAAGGCCCCACTCTGAGCCCTATCAGTTGTGACTCTGACAAGCAAGGGACCTGGTTGTAGTTTATGGCACAGGTATTACACATTTTAAGAAAGGTTGAAGGCAAGCGTGCAGAACTCCTCAGACCTGCAAAGCAAATCCAGCCCACCTTCGGTCCTAATTCGGCCCTTTGGTATTCCCCAGATGGCCATGCCATCTTCTCCTTTCCTTCAGCGGCTGATCATTTAGTGATTTTCCTGGCCTTTGAGTGTTTTTTCCTATTTCTAAAAGGCTGAAATGCCTCTCCTAAGGATTAGTTCCTTGACTCAACATGTTGGTAAGTAGTCTAACTCGAAAAAAGAATGGATTCAGCCATCCTTTTATTTACAGGTCCAAAAAGTTGACACTGAAAGCCTTTAAGCAGTATTGGTTTGTCTTCAAAGACACCTCAGTGGCCTATTTTAAAAACGAAGAAGCTGAAAATGGAGAACCCATTGAGAAGCTCAACCTAAGAGGTAGCGGGCTGCATGCATTTTCATTCTGCTGCTTAAAAGTACAACTCTTTGAACAGGGGCATCCATGCACTTCCGCTCATTGCTTTTGGCAAGGGGCAGACAAACCTGTCAATTTCTGTTTCTCATTTTTACATGCTTAAATTTCTTCTGTCCAATGTCTGCAACGTTGGTTTTTTTTTAACTTTTTGGAGGGAGGGAGGGAGGAAGTCTGCACAAAAGTGGGTATACCGTGTTGCATACTTTTTTCTGACACCTACATCATTGTAGGTGTTTTTGCCTAATGCACCCATTTTTGACAAAGTTTTCTTAACATCATGGAGCTTTGCACAGTTTGCCCACTAGCGGACACATTTTGTTCATGGTTTTTCTTACCATATGCATTTTCTGAGCACAGACCAAGGGGCAACTGTGTTCCATTTTGCATATTGATCCTGAAGATGCATATTTGATAAGCTCTTATCAAAATGTAACTGGAATCAAATTCTCCCCCCTCTGTTTGTAGTGTGCATATAAACCTACACAGTGCTGTTTGCCTTTATAATAATTTGATTTAATCTCTTTTCTAAATCATCACTATTGCTTTAGCACTGGCTATTTCCAAGTGATTGAAGGATGGTGATGCTTATGATGGCCATGCACTCCACTTGATAGGAGATGGCCTCTTAGGGCTGCAGGCAGCCTCGTTGCAACGCACATGGGCAAGGTGACCACAGAGCCCTGAGGCTCTGTGATTTAGAACAAGGGTGGGCAACTCATGGCCCTCCAGATATTTTGGCTTACAATCCCCATTGCCCCCAGCTATACTGGCTACTAGTAAACACTGGTATGGGAGTTCCAGGCCAAAACATCCAAGGTCCACATGCCGCCCACCCCTACTCTAGAAGACAACTCTTGGCCTAAAATCTAATTCATTTCTCCAGTGAATCATATAGATGAACCTAAGCAAATTAATCTTCAGTATTTCTAAATTTAATGGGATGAAATGCTTCAAAGAAAAAAGTCTTCTGTCCTGTTTTATATGCTGGTCTTTTCTTAAATATACCTTTCTGATTTCTTTTCAAATTCTCCTGAAGTCCTTGTCACTCATCCTAAAACGTCGATAAAAGCATAACCTCACTTATGACTTCTCATGTGTTCTGTCATTCAGGATGTGAAATTGTCCCCGATGTAAGTGTGTCAGGGAAAAAATATGGCATTAAGTTACTCATCCCTGTTGCTGATGGAATGAATGAAGTCCACTTGAGATGTGATAACGTGAGTAGCAAAAAAATCCAGGGGATTCTGTAGGAGGGTTCATTTTGCCTTGGGTGCTATACATTAATGTGTGAGAAACCTATTTTTATTCATTCATTCATTTAGGCATTTATATACCCTTCATTAGCACAGTGCTCTCAGAAGCTACTGGCATTGCAAAGCATGCAGTATCTTGCAGGTGTGGCATGCATATTTCCAGTCCAGCATGTACACAGCCATGAGGACCACAGGGCAGTGAATCAGGTGACAATGCAATAGAAACAGCAGTGAGCCTGATCACAGGATGACTTGTTCGTCCAGGCTTTGATTGATATGTCCTTACAATGCAGGACAAGCTGTAAGGGAGGACATAACTGCATAAACAGGTGAACTGGCACAGCTTCTGGGTGGGACGGCAGCACTGTTTAATAGGATGCATCTGCAGCAACCGCCCCTCACCTCCAGAGGCATCGAACAACAATCCTCCACAGGTCTCCCATCATCTTCATGGGCATGCATCCCCAAACAGTGCTAAGTCACACTGAGGAGAAGCTGTTGCCATGCAGCTGCAGCCACTGTGAAGGGGAAAGTCCATGATATGTCGCTTTCCTCTGCCTGATATAATCAGCGGCTTTGTGTTGACTTTCTTGATCACAGAACTTGAAAGGGGCTTTAAGGGCATAAGGGCGAGCTCCTAGGAGGCAGCCTCTGGAATATGTGCACTGTGTATGCTTCAGCACAGCGTCTCCAACCTGGTCCTCTTCAGATGTTTCATGGCCAATGCTCAGGAGGTTGCTAGGAATTATGGTCCGAAACCTAACTCTGCGGAAACCAGGATCAGGGAAGGCCACATGCCTGCATCTTTTGCCTCATCCCACCACCCAATCTGATGCTTCTGTGGTTCGTCTTGCCCAGCCTTCCCCACCCCCATATTTACAGCTGGGTAGCTCGCACTTCTGCAGGGGCAATTCTCCTTATTATACCAAGCTGTGACTGCACAAGCAGTGTGCTGCTTCAGGTTTCCTGCAGTGGTTAGGGATGGCCCACAAAGGTGGAGGTCACCTGACATCAGCAGATTGGGCCAGGTGTGGCTCCCCAGGTGTTGCTGGACTACTGATCTCTTCAGCCTTAGGCAGTAGAGCCAAGGGTAAGAGAAACTGGGAGCTGCAGTCCAAGAACATCTAGAGGGTCAGAACTCCATTTAGGCCAGTGTCCCACTTTCCAAAGAGGCCAACCCACAAGAAGGGCAGCTGGGAGACGTGCTCCAAGAGGTATTGTGGTCCCCAGCTAAGTAAAGCTTTATAGGTTAAACCCTGCATCAATTTTTAGGAGCTTTCAGAATTGGAGCCTCTCTCCAAGCTAACTAAAGAAGCATAATAATATCACATTTTAAATGGCTGGAGCAGCAAAGCATGCAAAAAAGATTTGATGTGAAGAACTCCCTTCCCTGTTTCCTGTAGGAAAATCAGTATGCCCGGTGGATGGCCGCCTGCATGTTGGCTTCCAGAGGGAAGACGATGGCTGACAGCTCGTACCATTCTGAGGTCCATAACATCCTCTCATTCCTGAAGATGAAGAGCAGAACGGCTGCTCCCCAAGAAGTCTCTGATGTGGAAAGCATGGACATGAAACCAGAGTGCTTCCTCTCACCACGCTATGCAAAGAAATACAAGTCTAAGCAGGTGACGGGAAGCATCTTTAGGATGACCAGAGTCTGGTTTGTGTAATTCTTGCTTAACCAGGTCAAAAAAGTGCAATTCCAGGAACTTCAGTTCTCGGAATTCAGTAAGCCTTTGATGTAGGAGCTTTGCAAAATACCCAACCAATCAGACAGAGAGAAAGAGAGCAAGTGAGCCAGTGTGGTCCAGTCCAGCAGGAGTGGGCAACATACAGCCTGTGAACTTCCCGTCCCCCAAATTTTGAGTCATCTGGATGGAGCACCCAAAAGGTCTAATTTAGCTTGTTTGTACTTTGTACCTGGTGTGTGGGGGGTTAAAAAGGACCCCCTATCTTCCCTGTTAGCATTCCTATAATAGGGTAATGCCTTGAAATTGGGGGATGTGGGCTGATGAATCTACTTTTCAGTGTACTCACTGTATTTACCTTGTGCAATCTTTCTCGGTTTCCACTTTCCCTTCTGAAAAAAGGGCATAAGAGAGCAGTCCTGGGCAAGGGGAACTGTTAAAATATTCTGTATGCAGAAACGTAACATTCTGTGTGTGTTATGAACTGCCTAGAGAGCCTAAGGCTAATGGGGCAGCATATAAGTTGAATAAACAAATAAAGGATAAGGTCCCAGGTTCAATTTCTACCATGAGGATCCTGGATAGCTGGGCCAGGGTGAAAAAGGCCATCCCTGTTGAAAGACTCTGCCCACCCAGGGCCCCTGTGAGCTGCTGCCAGGCAGGTGGACCAGTGATTTGATTCTAGGTAAGGCACCTCAAAGATGTGAACTTCACTGACATCAAGAAATATTACTCAGAATATATTTCATGAATGAAGCATTAAAATGGTCCCATAAATCAGGTATAGGGAACCCTCTGGCTGCAGCCCACAGTGGTTCCCTGCCTGGCCTGTGGAGACTTGAGCTTCCTTCACAGCCCCTCTCCCATATCTTTCACAGTAGCATTATTCCTAACCGAGGAATGACTGTCCTTCTGCAGATTATCAGGCCTTGCTCCACACTGTTTGTGTTTTCCTACTGTTCATGATTATTTTTAAAGTTGCCAGGTGAACAACCATCTTTTATATTCATGACTTCCCTTGATCCAGCTCTGTGACTTAGTTCCCCATTTTGAAAATATGAATGATGATGATGGGGCTGGGTGTGGGGGGGAGCACCCTAAGGGAGAACAAATTCCTCAAAAGTGCAGACCATCTTGAAATCCAGCTCTCTTTACTTCACTTCATGATGATTGCAGGATTGTGTATCACAGCACTGTAAGTGCAACAGCTCTTGTACCAGCCAACTCTGCTGCCATCTGCCAGAATAATAATCCAGGAAATCCTTATCTCCCAGTCCCCTGGAACACTGCATGTCATTTTGATCTTGAGCTTCACATCCTGCAGTGGGAGAGGGGAGGAAAGAGGCACAAAAGCTGGTAGGAAATAAGACCTACCCGTGTTCCTTCCTGCCACGAGGCCATGAGGTGTTGATTCCTTGGGAAGGCACCCATGTGGAAAGAGCTGCCCTCAGTTTAGGAGCCTGTCAGATCCTTGGTCCATCTAGCCCAGTATGTTGACACTGACCGACAGCAGTGGCTTACCAAGGTTTCAGGCAGCTCCTTTTCCAGCCCTGCCTGGAGCTGCTGGGGATCAAACCTGGGATATTCTGTATGCAAAGCAGGGGCTCAACCAGCGTTTTCCTGCATGTTACAGGAGCCCCTCTTCCCCATGCTGTTTTGGCTGCTCTTCACAAAGCATTCAATCCCCGGAGGCCAATTTTCTTCCTTAAGGGAGTAACATCTGCACACTTTGCCTGCCTGAGAAGTCATTTGCTTAACACACATCTTTCATTTCCTGCATCTGTTAGCCAACACCTGTGTTTTTCCCCTTCTTTCTTCCCTTAGTTGGCGGCTCGTATTCTGGAAGCTCACCAAAACATCGCCCACATGTCTCTGATGGAAGCCAAATTAAGGTTTATACAGGCATGGCAGTCCCTTCCCGAGTTTGGCTTATCATACTACATTGTAAGGTAAACATAATATCACACTTTCTTAATTTTATAGTGGCAAAAGATTCTCAGAGTCCTTTTGCCACTTTTTAAAATTAAGCATGCAACAGCTACAATATAATTCAGACAGTTCTGACTCCATAAGGTTCTCAAAATGATTTTTCCATTTTGTTTTGTTTTTTCTGTGAGCCTCCTATTTCCTCTTATATACAATATAAGGTTTTCCTAGTCACACCCAGCTTCACAATGTGGTATTCTTAGGCAACTACCTTTCCCCACACCTAATAATATTTTCTTTTCTGGCACAACATTGTGCAACAAGACAGCCACCATTTCAGTTTCCCTCAGTGTCCCTGAGTTGCAGTCATTCCAGGGCATTGTGGAAAATTAAAATGGCAACCCCTCACCTCCTGCCCTGGACAGCCTAGCGAATGCAAGAGACGGACCACTGAAGGATGCTATATGCTGAGACTCATATCAGACTGGAAGCTTTCTCTGCTCCTAGTACCGAGTAAATGTCAGGCAATTCATTCCGTGCATACTCGTACATATTGCAGGTGGCAAGCAGAACTTTTAATTCCTCCAGGGGACACTTTTCACGCTGGAAGTGGATAAACCAAAATGCTTTATTTTCTACTCTTATTGTACAGCATCTAATCCAAGCCCTGAGCTTCCCTAAAACTCCTGTAGGATTGAAGAATGTCACTGAAAGACACGAAATGTTTTTAAGGAACTCAATCTGTTAAGTCTCTTAGAAATTGGCATTATGTTTCTGAATCTTTTCACGTGTGTTATTTTCCCAGGTCTTGATAACTGCTGTACATTAAGAAACTGTCGTTTACAGTTATTATCAGGGTTCCCTGGCATTTCTGAACTGCTACTAGACTTTGAGAGTGGAAGGTCATAGAGCCGTATTTGTGGTATTGAGAGGACATTGTATGGGGTGATTTTTGATGCCCTTTCCTTGCACTTGAAACTTTTGAGGGAGAAGGAGAGAGAGACCACTAAGCCCCTGGCTGCTTTATTTACAGAGATATAAGGAAATTGTGCAGGCAGTATTTAATCCTGCTGACCAGCAAGAAGTAAACCGATGCCCATCTTCTTGGGTTCAGACCAATTATTGCAAAAGCAAGCACATGTTGTCCAAAAATAAAAAATCAGAGTTAAGCGGACTACTTGTAGTTGAGATTTTATTGCTTCACACTGAATCAAAATGAAATCCCCTCTGCCTGCCCCCACTGCGCATTTTACCTTGAAGCTTGCTGTCAGTGCCACCCCAGAATTAACCACAAAGAAGTGGGATGTGCCGCCGATCCCTTCAGATTGGTTCCTGGACCATGGGGCAGAGCTTGATAATCCCTCAGCTAGCAGTGCTGAGGTGAGCACTGTTTGTTCACCACAGGCAAATATTTCTCAAATTCCAAGGGAATGAGATCAGAGAACATGGCCCAACGCCCAGCTCCGACCCTTGCTTCAAAAATTCACCTGCACAAAAACCAGACCTTCACAGAAGAATGCATGCACAGCAAAAAGCAAAAAGCAAAAAGCAAAAACAAAAGCTAGCTACTGTTTGGCAGTGGACACTTGCTGCATCTGCCTCCTTTAAAGCAGGGCCCTTCTTTTTGAAAACTTTCCTCCAATTATGATATTATTTTATCTGGGAAAAAGGGAAAAATCAATTATTAATTGCTGGTGGGTTTGTGGATATGTTGTAAAGTGAGTTACTATTTACTTGATACCCATGTTAAATCTTTTTTTAATAACCAAGAATTATTAAGTCAAAGCTGTAGTTATAGAATTGACAGAAGTAATAATAATTGTTGACTCCTTGTGTAATTTCTTGCATTTAGTGCTATATGTAATTTTTAGGTAAGGTCTCATGGTATCTTTTTTATTTTACTTTTTCTTGTTTTTTCCCTCTTTTATTTATAAAAAATAAAAAATAATAGTATATAGAAAACCAATTGAGGTGGTGGGGAGGTTTAAATTTGGATACACTCACCGGTGTACAGCCTATTTTAAAAATAGACTGTCAAATAGCATACCAGTGCTAATTGTCCCAGAGAAGAGACGAGATGAGAAGAGAGTTCACCTCTCAACTATTATGTAACTGCTATAATATTGCATTGCTACCACTTAATCAGGAGTAGAGCTCAAAACATTTTCAACACTAGGAGAAAAATCTGTTTTCTTAATGAACTAGAAATGCTTCCAAAACTTTCTATGGGTGCTTCTAGATGAAGGGTTCCTAGTACTGTCAATCAAAAAGTGTTGTGTTTTTTGTTCTTAACAGATTTTAAGGGTTAAGAAAAAGAATTAAAGGAACAGAGGGAAACCTGGGAGCCTTAGAGAGGGCATGTAACTTGTCTGGACACCCTCACAACAACCCTGTGAGGTAGGTTAGGCTGAGTGTGAGGGCTGGCCCAAAGTAACCCAGGAAGCTTCATGGCCGAGTGGGGACTAGAACCTGGATCTCCCAGGCCCCCAGTCCAGCACACTCGCCACCACTCCACCCTGGCCCTTTTCTATTATTTTTCCTCCTTGCCAGTTGCTTTTAATGTACATATATGACTTTGTATGAAATGCAGACAACTTTCTGGCAGTGATACTTAGGCTTTAGGACAAGTGGGCCAAATATAGCTTAATGTTTCTTTTTGGCCAGTAGAGGGAAATAAAAGTTCACCAAGTGACAAGAGCAGTAAAAGTTTTCAGGATGCGCAAGAATTCTGTTTCTGTTCACAAATCTGTGCAAATACATCCTCAAGGCAAATGTGAGCAGGAGTATTTTTTTTTTTAAGAAAATGTTAGTAAATCCCCAGGTTTTCAATTGTGTTCCAAAAATGTGTCTTTTAGTTCACATCTTTTCAAAAGAGTAATGCATTTCCTCACTTTAACTGATAGGGAGAAAAGTGCACTTACAAAAATGCACGTGTTAAGTATACACTTTTCCCATTCAAAATGTGCACATTTCCTGCTCAAATAAGCAGAAAATACAGATCAAAAATAATAATGGAACAAACCTAAATAAGCTTCAAAGTGTTTTTTGGAAAATTTAGGTGAGGTCAAGAACCACTGATTTTTCCCAGTGATAAAGAGTGTGTGTTGTCATTTGAACCTCCTGTTCCCTCCCCTCACTGACTTTTACTGACCTGAGATAGGCATAATGATGCCTTCTGTCAATACCCCTGTCTGTGAGGCAAAATGTAGGTGGGACTAAACCTTTTGTATCACCATTTCTGTGCTATAATCGGCCATCCAGTCTACAGCTATGGGGTAAATGAGGATTAGACTGAGCGCCAGCCACACTTTTTTCAGCCCCATCCCACTTGCTCTGCACAGACAGCAGTCTGGAGGGCTTCCTGCCTGGCCCTGAAGCCCCCCACCTTCTCTGGAAGGGAAGGAATCTCTCCTTGTTTGCACCCTATCCAGCTTTCCAGGATGGAAAGAGGGACAGCGAGCATGTACCCTCAAGCATAAAACCCTAATACACACTGTTAGTTCACTGTAGTGCTGAAAAGAGCTCCAGCTTTCTCTCCCTTGACCCCTTGGTCTGGACAGAGTAGCAGGAAGGAGTTCTTACGCAGTCATCGTGCACAACTGGGGTGGCCAGGGCTGTGGAGAGAATGAATTGATGGCTAATTCTTCCCATGTAGATTTAAAGGGAGCAAGAAAGATGATCTGCTGGGGATTTCTTATAACCGCCTGATAAGGATCGACACAGCCACAGGGGACCCAATCACAACATGGAGATTCTCAAACATGAAGCAGTGGAATGTCAACTGGGAGATCCGGCAGGTGAGGCCCAGTGTTCCCTGGAGCACCACTGGTAGAGGTTACTTGTGTCAAAAGGTTTTTGGCAGATAAGGGTGAAACTACAGTTTGAGGATGGATGTGGGATTGCATAATAAATGCACCCACTGCAGTTAGGAATCCTTGCATCCATTGCACATGTCATTCATAACTGAGCAGTTCTTCCAGTATGCATGTGTAACACAGATTTCTTAAGGCCTTATTCACTATGGCTTTTATTTGGGGCTTAGGCATCAGTGCTCAGTTCACGACCAAACCGGGTTGTGAACAAAACTTTCATAAAAATTTTGACTCAGGTCACGAACTCCGCATTGGAGTGCCATCTCCCCAGTGGAGAGATGGTCGTGATCATGCTGGGGGCAGGGGGGAGATGGCCAAGTTCATGCCCATCTTTCTTGCACAAGTGTGCCCACGTTCATGGTCATGCTGTGGGGTGGGGAGATGGCCATGCTCATGCTCGGGGTGGGGGTGAGGAGATGGCCGCGATCTTTGTTGTTCTTTGTCACTTTGCTTCACATTTTTCTGATTAAAAAAAAATAGTTACAGAACAGATTAACCTTATTTACATTGAACCTTATGGGGAAATTTAAACCAATTTGGGTCATGACCAGAGTCCTGGAATGGATTAAGTTTGTGAGCTAAGGTACCACTGTATCTGGCAATATTCATTTGTTTGTTTGTTGTATCCCGCCCTTTGCAGTGTTTCAGTAGCAGATGCCCCCTCACCTCATCACCACAGCAGCCCCTCTACCCCCCTGAAAATGCTAGACAGAGGATCAGAGACACTGCAGACAAAAGGTGCACCTGCCTGATTTGGGGGAATCAGCACCCCTAGCACAGCCTCCCCTCCCAGCTGGGTGACCCACACTTAGTGTGGTTTTTCCAAGGTGGCTAGAGGATGGCTGCTATGCAAAGGAAGGAGGGAGCAGGAACACCCTTTTGCACACATATAAACACTAAATTAGAATCCATGTGATTAAAGGATATAACTGCTTTGTTTCTTTTGTGAGTTACAAAAGATCATTGCTGGAATGTGTCAATAAATTCAGGGTAGAGGAGCTGAAATAGTTCACGCAGCACGTCGCTGACTCGACAACAGGGAGGCAAAACCTCAGGGCTACAGGCTTTAGCACATGGCAGAAAGAATTACATAATGACAGGATGGAAGTATCATAATTAAAATGAAAAGTGATTGTGGGAGGCTGCAAATGCTCCTACAACTTCATTTCATTATTCGTGAAGTCAAGTTGTCCCCATGGACAACTTTCCTGCAGGCCTTCCTGTCCTCCATCATCCCCCAGAGTCCACCTAAGCTCACACCGACTGTGTCAGTAACTCCATCTAGCCACCTCATTGTCTGCCACCCCCTTCTTCTTTTGCCATCTATTGTTCCCGGCATTAGGCTCTTCTCCAGGGAGTCCTTCCTTCTCATTAGGTGGCCAAAGTATGTGAGTTTCATCTTCAGTATCTGGCCATCTAAAGAGCAGTCAGGGATGATCTCTAGGACTGACCGGTTTGATCATCTTGTGGTCCAAGGGACTCGCAGGAGTCTCCTCCAGCACCACAAATCAAAGGCCTCAATTCTTCAGCGCTCAGCCTTCCTTATGGTCCAACTTTCACAGCCATTCATAGCAACAGGGAAACCATAGCCTTGACTATACGAACTTTTGTTGGCAGGGTGACAAAAACAACTCCTACAACTGCTTCCCCTTTAAAACCCTATGTATTGGGTAGAAAAATGGCAGGAGAGAAAAAGGGTCAAACCCCATTCCTCCCCTGCCATTTAGTCTTTCAAATTGCCCCCTCCATGTTGCGTTCTTCCCTGGAAGGGAAAAGATACGGATTCCCCCTGTATCTGTTCTCTGGGGTGCGCATGGGAGTGCAAAGAGCCTGACCATGGATGGTTTTGAGCTTAACCATGGCAAGGGAAGGCAGGGTGAAGACCTTTTATCATCCTGGGCTGCAGCTTCACTGGTATTTTAATAAATGAATTGTTGAGAGACTGTTTTGTGTCTGTTGCCTCACACAGCGTTTGGCCCTTTCAGCTTTTGAGGTGTGGTTCTCCTTATAAAACAATGAAAACCAGAATTGCTGTTCCACTCTTGGCATGTTAATTCACTGTATGTATTCATGCACTTTTGCATCTCCCTTTCAGGTCGCCATTGAGTTTGATCAGAACGTATCCATTGCATTTGCTTGCCTGAGTGCAGATTGTAAGGTCATTCACGAGTACATTGGAGGCTATATTTTCCTGTCGACCCGCTCCAAAGACCAGAATGAAACACTTGATGAAGATTTATTCCATAAATTAACAGGAGGATGGGAGTGAGAAGACACAAGAAGTGAAATGGGCCTACATGAGAAGAATCCCTCCTGTATGTGCATCTATTTTAAGCTATTCTAATCATTCTGATGCAACTCAGTGACCTTTATTGTCGTTATTTATATTATCTCAGGGGTTAATCAAGGAACATTTAAACAGCTAGAACTGTTTTCAGTGCAAAAATCTATCTACAGCAGAGCAGGCAACCTTTTGGGGGTTGTGCATACAATTAGCAATTTAAGAGACTTTTCTGGGCACCACCACAAAATGGCTCCCATGGAAGGCATGGCAAAGGACAGATAATGTCCCAGATGACTGACTACAAGACACAGGTGGTGTCCAAACCGCAACACACTAAACAACTCCTTTGAACCCACAGTTTTCAGCAGCAACAGAAACCTTTGGTGCAACAAAGTAGATCACTGCCGAGAAAATAGGCTTTTGGCTTTTTTTAATTGGCAAGGGTAGAACACCTTGGTGGGCGTTAGGAAGGGTTCTAGGCCCTTATCGGCCCTATATTGCCTACTCAATAGCTTGATTGCCACCTTATTTGTTTCTCTGTAATGTTTATTACATGCGATACCATCAGCCCATGAAAACTGATTCAGTTTCGAATGCACCACAGTCCAGCTGTTTGGTGTACCCTCCCTTTCCCGCCTCCCTGTGTGCTGCCCTGACTCCTTTGTCCTGTCTACAGAGCTACAGCAAGTGGCGCGCACATTGCCAGGACACCGCTTTGCTATGCATAATCGCATACGTAAGGGACGTATGCAATCGTACACGCATGGCTCAGGCTAGTGCAGGGGAATCAGTGGCACCGGAGGAAGATCCTGTTTGTGCTTGGAGCCTCAGGGGCAAAGCATTATTTCTTTGTCGTGTCTCTGTGCATTACACATATATGGGTGCTGCACAGTGCCTATTTTTGGGAAGACTTCATAGCTATAACGGTTTTTGGCCTCCCCTCCTAGCATAAATGGACAGAGTCCCCACCCTCTCACCAGCCTGCTTTCCACCACCGTTTGCTGTGCCTCAGGCTCTTTCACTTTACTCTCGTTTTTTCACAAAACCTACTTACTCTAATTGTCCTTACAACTTATCTCACAACTTTATCCCTAATACTATACCTCATCCCCAAGTTTCCAACTGCAAAGAACCTTCCTCTCACTCCTTTTCCCTCCCCATTTCCCCTCACTACTATCCCCCATTTTAAAAAAATACAACCCCCCCTTCTACCCTGTTTCCCCGAAAATAAGACCTACCTGGAAAATAAGCCCTAGCATGATTTTTCAGGATGCTCGTAATATAAGCCCTACCCCAAAAATAAGCCCCAGTTAAGATCGTCCGCCAGATGGATGCATTTAGTACGTCCATTGCAACACAATTTGGGGTTTGGAGAGTTATGACGATGTTCCAGAAAAAGATGGCATGACTGTATTTGAATAAATGTAGATTTTTGTACATGAATAAATGTAGATTGTTGTACATGGAAAAAATAAGATATCACCTGAAAATAAGCCCTGGTGTGTCATTTGGAGCAAAAATTAATATAAGACCTGGTCTTATTTTCGGGGAAACACAGTATGGTCTCCCTTGCTTTCATTTCTTCCATTTCGCTCAATGGGACAGCGTTCTGCCTTTCAGAAGTGTGTCCAGGGTGGGGCGAAGAAGTCTCCTACTGACCCCCATTTGCTCTGCCTGCTTTGCCTCAGTGAGGGCCACCGCGTGGACAAATGCATTCATTGCCAGGCCTTCACCCATCAGGCTCACAAAAACTGTGACAATCCTGTTTGAGCTTGGAGCCTCATGGGCAAAGCATTCTTTTTCTTGGTGACTGCATGCACTGTGGAGAAAAGTGTCGCTCTTCAGCTCTCTGGCATCTTTTCCTAAAAATATTTCTGAGCTTCATCATGCAGCTCAGAGGCATTTGTGAGAAATTAAGAGCAATCTCATCTGGAGGCCCTCACATTGCTTTGAATTGATTTCAGTTGCTGATGAGTAAACCTTTTGCGTTTTGAAAATTCAGGAGGTGCTTCAGTGGGCACCAAGAAGGTACGCAGAGATGCACTGGAAGGCAGACTAGACACAAAGGATATATCAGGAAATCTTGAGAAAGGATGTAGCTATATCAATGGAGGTCTATCATGGCGAGCACAAATGCAGTTTTAGGGAAGAAAAGAATGGACTGGATCCAAACATGGCCTCAGGAGATAAAAACTGCTTACAAATGGGTGTTTTATACTTTGCACTAAATCCCCGCACAAGGAAAATAAATTTAAAGGTGTTCCTTAGACTACTCACTCAAAGGCATTGTGCAGCTCTCTTCCTCCTTAATGTTTTTTTCCCCTCATAAGAAAAAAAACAGGCAGAAGAAGCAGTGGGAAAATATGGGAAGGTTAAAAATGGAAGATGACAGTGACAAGATGCCCCATAATATTCCATAGGCTGGACCTAGATTCAGCTTTCCAGCAGAGGAGGGACCTTCTGCTCATAGAGCAGTTTCCCCTCTGATATTTGGGCAATCTCTTCCCCACACATGCCACAGCTCATTCCATTCAGCAGGATCAAGGCAAAAGATGTGTAGCTGGCACTACTACAGTAGGAAAAACTCAGGAGAGTACACTTCTGTTTGCCCAGGTGACCGAGCTTAAATCTAGATCCAAGTCACAGTTTGGAGCTGGGTGATTACAGAATAAGAGACTCAATGGAAGTATCCCATATCCAAACACATTCTTCTAAAAGAATTTGTGAACGTATGAGAACAGCTTCAGAATCTAACTACGCTAGAGATGCCCAAACTCCCGTGCAAGCTGTCACCTTCCTTCTGCTCACCAATCGGTGGATCCAGCCCCATTGTTTGAGAAATGCTCTCCTCACACTCAAATTCCCACTGAGATATAAAGCACCCATTGTGGGCTCCTGAAGCAGTTTGGCACAATTATATGATTTTCTGTTTTGCCTCTGCCCCTTATGAATGGGTGTTTGGAGGTTACAGTGGATAGGAGACACACCTAAAAAGCAGCTGACATGCGCAGAAGTGACCTCATGTTCTTTGTTTTCCTACTTTCTCCAAACAATAATGAACAGGTGACTCACCAGATGTCAAATGCCCCTTCCCTGACTGTTGGCCATGCTGGCAGGGGCTGATAGTATCTGGCATCCAACAACATCTGGTTTGTCAACTGTGGGATATCGGAGCATCAAGGCAAAAGACACAGCCGAGGCATTCTTTGTCCTTGGCTGCTACCTTGTGTTTCCTCACTTGAAATGTGAATTGGCTTCCAAATGAACATGCACTGGATTATGCTGGGTGCTACTCCAATGCATTATTTGTCCCCCAACACCGGAGATAGTGATTCATGATAGGCCTGTGTTCTGGCTTTTTAAGCATCCTGTTACTCATTTTAATTGAAACAAAACCAAAGGGCGCTAAGGCAGCATAAATGAAATATGTGATTTCATAGTATGTTCATATATATTTTTACAAAATTACCTGTTAAGCATATATTCTACTCTTCCTAAGTAAATCTACGTTTGGGATTTCGATGTTTTAAAATTGTTGTTGTTATTACTTTGGAGTATTGTTAAACCTGAAATTTATTTTATTTTCAATAAAAGCTTTGTACAAAATCTTCCTAGAGTTCAGTTTTGGCCTTTTTTCTTGTCTTCCTTTTTTCTTTTTGTTATTCTTCAGAAATAATTTCAAGTTTAACTATAAAACAGCTCCTTCCTTTGACAGTGGTCTTACAGTTTGTAAAGTTTTGTACCGTGATAACCAGATTAATTATAGGAAAATAGCATTTTTAATTGTGATTTTAACTCCTGTTTTTTTAAAATGCAACATCTAAAATACTTTTAAACTTTTCAATAGTTGTATCATTTTATTTCAAAATTTAGTGCTTCTACAGAATAATGGGCAAAGTAGAAAGGCTGCATTTTCCTTTCCTCTCCTTTGAGATGCATTTGGTTCATGTTATTCTTTTACAGATCTGCCTTGTGCAGGGGCCTAGCCATTTTCCTAATGGCGATCTGAAGATTACAGGCCTTATATTCATTGTGGGATGCAGAAGGACTCTCAGCATCTGCAAGAGACAGCAAGGGGAGGGGAGGAATTTATCTCTGAAGTTCAGTGCCATCTCCTCTTAGTACTCTTATCTTCTGCTTAAATAAGGAATTCAGCTCTCACTTGTAACATTCCAGACTGAATTATTTGCAGCCAGGGATAATTTAACATCAGACAGCAAGGTGGGACATGCACTGGCTGGAGTTTTCCAGGTGATGCTTTATTATGGGCAGCAAGGCTGGAACCTGTGTGAGGCTGCTAGACTGTGGCCCATGCTCTGGGTTGTGGGTGTGTTTGGCTAGAAATCAGCCACATGTCGTAGGTCTAGGGCTGGGGAAAACACTGATTAGAACAACAGTTTGTGAAATGGACTGAGAAAGAGAGGAAACAGTTTTGTGAAATAGCCTCACCTCCTGCTTTGCTCTCTGAATCCTTTTGCTGTTTCTTCAGCGTGTTTCATGGGATTATGCCTTAATGAGGAGGGGGGGGGCTACATCTGATGAGACGTGCATTGGATTGCCCCATTAAATCTCTGATTTCGACTCCCACCCCCAACTCAGCATGCATCTTTCTTAAACTTTTGGGTCTGCTTTTGAATAAAGTACTTTTTGAGGTTTTGCAAGAAGGTCTTGCTAAAAAAAAAAAAAAACAAATCTGAGCATAAGAAAAGATTTTCTTAGTCATTCTGGTTTAAATATAGGGTTCAGTGGACTAGCACACTGTGACTTTATAACTTTAACAAGCCACCTTCAATCTTTATCCTCTCTTTTAAGAGGTACATAGCTCTGTACATAGCTCGCAGAGGCCTGTTCGGAGCCAGTGGCATTTATCTCTGCTCCTCCATGGACTCCCATAATAAGTCGGCCATAATACTCAGGTCCCTGGAAGGCTGTCCCAAGTGCCATAAAATTTTGCAGATCTTTCCTTGAGAAGGATCCAAACTACA